CTGCTATATCATCTGCAAATGTAAGCATACTAATATTTTGCCAAATATATATATATATATATATATATCTAGGAAAGTTTAGGACTACTGCACTTTGCAAGCAACAGGCTTGAGGTACCTAGTAAAAATGTTTAAGCAACTTTTTGCTATTGTTTTTCTTGCACTAATTTCATCTTCTTATTCACAATATGTCTCTCGAGGCCAGTGTGAAGACAGAAATATAAAACCAGTAGAACACTTCCCACTAATTGGTGTGGTAAGTTGACTTTTATTAAACTAGTTTTTACTTGTCACTTTGTTCTCATGAAATTTGAGTTGTTGTAATTTAACAATGAGCAGTTAAGGATACTAGCCAATACACCATTGGAAAGTTTCCTGAACGTTAGTCTTGGGTTTTTAGTGCTACCAAGGGTTCGGGCTTGCAAAATGTGAGGTTTTTTTTAGAATTTGATGACTGAATTATTATTAAATTTTACTTAGGCGTGATATTTTATCTCCGATGTTTCTATAGTAAAGTGGCTGAGTTTGCGATNTAAATAGTATTAAATATTTACAATAAAAATATACATGCATACTTCCGCCACAACCTAATAAAGGTAACGTTGAACTTTATATTTATGACAAAAAATTGAATGAGTTTTTGGATAGTAAACCTAAAGTGTATCCAACATTCACACACGATACAATTGGCTATCATCAACATCAATAAGTTCCTCAGTCCTGAGACTGTTTGGACACGTACCTCAATTCTTTCCTATCCTGAGCTAATCTTCGCATTTCTCCAAAATTAGAACAACCCACATCCTTAACTATAGTTTATAGAACAGTAATCTAATCTAGGTCTACCTCTACCGCTCCTAACTCCTGTTTCTGCCTCTAATATGTCTCTGACTAGACCTTCATGCCTGAAAAGATGACCTATCAACCTACCATGCCTATTTCTTATTGACTTCCTCTGTTCTCCTATTCTTTCTCATACCATTCCATTTCTAACCTTCTCTATCCACGGTAGTGAAGTTGTTTAATTTCTCCAAAAATCAATCGTTAGTTTGTCGGATTTTCAACAATTTTTTGTTTTTCCAGAACTATTATATGCGAGGGGCAGGTACAGGAGATACAGCGATTCGATAGCTAAAGAAGTTGATGAAATCCTTAATGATAACGGCCTGGCCGATATAAAACGAAAATACGCTAATCAGGAGATAAACACCTGCTTGTTTTAAAAAAAAAACTGTCACATTCATGAAAATTGTACGAAATGAATTAATATTAAACCTGTTAGCAATTTGAATGAGTTTTTTCAATTGATTTTCCTTCCCTTTTTGAATAAACGAAAAATAGTACGTAAGTATTTGAATTTATAAGAAGAAAAATAAAATAGATGGGTAAGTATTCGTTCGTTAACGTTAAATGCAGAGAAAGTTTTCTGATTAATAGGATTATTTTTGATAATTCAATTCAATACAACCAATTTAACATTTGTAGTTGAGAAAAAACATGTTTTTCCAAACTGCAAATGTAAATTTGTTCGCACAATATTGTTTTGTTGAAAGATTTACCACGTTATGTTCAGATCATACACTTGTTATTAATTTTCCTGTAATCTATAAGTAAACAACTACTTTCCGTATTTTTTTAAAAAATTATAGGTTCAGTAGTTTCGGAGATAAGCGGAGAGATGTAACAGTCATCTATTTTCTTAAATAACATTAAAACTCTTTATTTTAAGATTATAAAAAATATATATTTGAGACTCTTACTGCACGCCCTTTCATTTCGGTACAGTTTGCAAAACTTTTATTTTTAATTTCTCATTTCCCCCCCCCCC